AAGACCTACAGAGACTCAATAATCTCATGTGTTGAGATATAGGTGGACAATATAGAAATTTAAACAAGAAAGACAATTACATTATACCATCAAACAATATCTGAGAAAACAAAGGACAAAAGTGATTTTAACTAAGTGACCATTGTGTTGGCCAAGAACGTGCAATAAGATCTCTCATGTAGTCTAAAATGATCTTGAATTCTATGCTGGTGTCTTCATGGTACATTATAGGTGGAAGTACTTAAGCTCAAACAGTTGTATGACTAACCTAAAAACCTTTCTATTTGGGTCCCAAGATTTATGAGCATTCTGGGAGGGTAATGGATACATAGCAGATTTCCAAGAAGGAAAAGAAAATTCAAAGATTTTATTAGGAAAAACTTTAAAAACAAAATCTACATGGTAACCTGGACAATGGGGCCCAGTTCTTTCTTTTTTAGAAATAATGGCACCATTGTCCATCAGCATAAGGATATAGACAACTAAATCCTGTGGATTATCACTGTAAAATGTCCCCTGAAAGTTCCTTGAGGGTCATTCCATTACACTTCCTGAAAACAACCCAGGATAAAGAAACTATATCTCATTCAGCAGAGGCTCTGGAACGTTGGCTGTTGTGGAGACAGACTCTGAGCTTTGCCATATGACCTTACTTTCTTAATTGACTGCACTTTTTGACAATCCTATTGTAGTTTTTTGTTTAGTAGCACTTTAAAAAAAAAAAAAAGATTTTATTTATGTATTTGACAGAGAGAGAGATCACAAGTAGGCAGAGAGGCAAGCGAGGTGGGGGGGGAGCAGGCTCCCCACTGAGCAGAGAGCCTGATGCAGGGCTCCATCCCAGGACTCTGAGATCAAGACCAGAGCTGAAGGCAGAGGTTTAACCCATTGAGCCACCCAGACGCCCCCAGTAGCACTTTTTCATAAAGTGTCTTTTCACATATATTTTCAGCCACTAATCTCAGGCCTTCATTCCTCTGTCCTCACTTGTTGACCTTGAGCTTAAATGCCCCTATTATTCAGCTCAATTTATTAGATTTCTTTAATTGTTAGAACTGTTATCATCTCATGAAAATATCTTTTAGAAGGCTTCTAGGTGGAAAACATAAGAGGGTTTTATTCAAAAATATTAACTAGAGAATACTGATTCAGATAAAAAACACTAAAGGCAATCGAACTTGGGGAACAAGGATAGCCAGAAATGTGTTCACTACCAGTGGTCTGTACATGTGTGGGTACGGGGAGAAAAGATGTCTACATCTGGTTTAACCCTATACAATATGCACCCTCCATTGCCTTTGTTGGTCCTCCAAACATACTCCCTCAACACCATTTCTAAACTCACCATTCTTTAAAGATAAGGATATTGGGCCTGACAAAATGTGGTTCATTGACCAGTTGCACATGTTTGTAACTGCAAACTAGTGATTTTTTTCATCTTTTAATCCTTTTTCCATAATTTATCATTTGTGTAATGTTAAATAATCATTTAAACTTTCCAAATTTTGCTTCTTCATTTGTGAGAAATGATGGGAGATTATTGATAACATTATTACCTATCAAATTTAAGCTGATTACTTATTAGTTGGGATTAAATAATTACAATTAGGATTATATTTTGTTCTTTGACTGTATTCTTCAGTGTCACAGTGCATTGCCAGCAGAATTTCATGTCATAGAATTATTGCACTCTCTTTTTGGTGATCACTCTTTTTTCCACTCTTCCCTTTCTCAGGGCCAGGACTAGTGAGGAGAGGGAGGCTCTGGAGAGTGATTTTAAGGGGGAAGGGGAGGCAGTCATGCTCACATCTGCTCTTGGACCTATATCGCCATGTGAGTCCCTCCTTGATTGTTGCGTGCCCATGTCTTTTGGCTGACCACAAGGTCCACCCAGCCTGTCCCTCATCTCTCCATCTCTCCATCTTGATGGGATTGGACATGGTTCATGAAATTTAGCACCTGTGCAATGTCATAGGTGAGGTGTACAGTCCTCCACTGGTGGATGGATCTGAAGCCTGGCCACTCCACTGCTAGTTTGTGACCTGGTACAAGTTACTCTGTTCTCTCAGTCAAAAGTGATCCTGCTGTTGTTCCAATGCTTTGGGTCATTATGTGAATTAAATTATTTAATATATGCAAAAAACTGGAAGAAGCCTTGGCATTTATAAAAGTTAACACCTGTGCTAGTTATGATCATTATAACTAAAAACTAGGCTTTATTCTTCTGCATTATACTCATTATAATGAGTTCATTATATTATTGTGAGTTCTACACAACTTGGAAAAAATGCCCTGTAAATAACTTTTGTGTCTATATGTCTTTGTGTCTATATGTTTAATTGTTTGGGATTTCTATAACATTTGGTGATCGCTTTAAAATCTCAGTGAGATTTTAAAGCGATCACCAAATGTTATAGAAATCCCAAACAATTAAACACTCACATTGCAAATTCTCCTGAATTCTCTGCCAATATGTAGAGTTTTTGAACTATTAACCTTGCCTACAGGATGTATAACTGTTCAATATTTAGTGCTGCAATTTGCTAAATTCATTTTGTTTTTCTTTCTTTCACCGACACTAAATTATCTGATAGGAAGGACTGTGATCCCTTTCCTATTAGGGATACACACAGATCAAAAAAAAAAAATATACAATATGTATCACGGTCCTCAATATTTGATTCTACAATGAACCAAGATGTAGATGCCATTTAAGAATCATCACTCTTAAAGGGATGAAAGAATTAGTGCAAGAAAGAACAGGAATCTAATGTTTGTGCAACACTTTAAAGAATGGCAGCATTTGGTTTAAATAATTTCATTCTAATTATTTCAATATAACAGCCTCCAGTGCTGAATAAAATATAATTTCTAGTTGGACAAATCCTACGTTTTCACACTTAAATCATCAAGGTAAAACATGAAACATGTAAGATTTGCATATGCTACTCTCATGAGGGAACAGAGTAGAAAGAGCAAATTTTTACTCTGTGTCTCTCACAAAATTATCTATATTATTCTTCTTTCCTATAAATGTTTAATTATTTACTCATCAACAAAAAATAAAAATGTTCTCATATAGCTATTTTTTAAAATTCAAGCTTCTACTCTCTGGAAATATCCAAATGATTGAGGGACTGGGCAATATTACTCTAAATCAGTTTGATATTTGCCATATTAACATCTCTACTGACTATACTTATGTTTGTATATTTACTATTGATGAGCAAATGAAACCCTGTAATTAATTCTAAGATCATTTTTTCTTTATTTTGAAGAATAAAATATTCCTTGAATTCCCATAAACTTGTGATTGTATTAGCTGAATTATTTTATTTTAAAATCTTTTAGTACATATCATCAAGACTAAAATGAAATAAATGTGTATTCATTACCAGGTCTTGGCTCAAAATTAAGTTTGACTCTATTATGCATTTACCATACTTACGGAAAATATATCAAGTTATTCAAGTTTTGAGTATTTCAAAGAGATTTAATATCACTATTTAATATTATTATTTAACTATAAATTATATTTAATATCAGAAATATGTAGGACTTGCTTTAATATGACACATTTGCTATATATATATTAAATCTTAATTTTTAAACTTAAACATATTATAACTGAAGCTTCCAACAGTATGAAATGGTTCATATTTACCTTTCTTAGTAGAGATGATGCTGATTTTTTTCTCACTGTAGAGGATTTAAATATCCATATTACTTTAGATAATATCACTTAGTCCATCAAAGACATTCAACCATAAATTGTTCTGTTCTTTCCAAAAATAAAATGCTGTTTAAATAAAAGGTAGTCATCTTTACACTGTGGGTTCTCTCCAACCAGAAATGCTTAAATCTCTAATTACAAGTATCATTTTGGCATTCTGTGATTTGTTACATTTTTTTCCAGATAGCTCTCACTCTACCCAGAATACTCTCTCTTCAGCCTCTCCATGGAATAATGCACACAGTGTGTCTTATTTATTACTATGAATAAAGTACTGAGCAATATCATTTAAGACCATCCAAAATTGATATACATCCAATTCATCCACTGTTATGAATACTCCATATAGAGCTTCTGTTTCTGTTAGACTAGTTCCTGTCACTTTCCTAAACCATTTCTTTTCTTACTCTTCTCTATATTCAGAGTTCTGCCTGTGTAATAGTTGTAAATGTCCTGATGACAAATACTATTTTAACCTGGTCTTTTCTTGATTTCTTCATGAGCACCAAGGCAGCCTGAGAGCTAGCTGTTGGATGTATTATATCTAGTTTTAAAAATTAATTTTGGGGGATGCCTGGATGGCTCAGTCTATTAAGCTCTCAGTCTTTGGCTCAGGTCATGATTCTGGAGTCCCAGGATAAAACCCCACATTGGGATTCCTGCTCAACGGAGTGTGCTTCTCCCTCTGGCCCTCCCTCTGCTCATTCTCTCTCTCTCTCTCTCTCTCTCTCTCTCTTTCACCCCCTCCCTCTTTCTCACATAAATAAAGAGAATCTTAAAAAATAATTTTGGAACCAATATGACCTTTGGTAGGGGAAAATTCTTTTTCATACAGCATTTTGTCATCAGCCTCTAATTTTATTTCCAGTCCGAACCCACTTGTTTTTTTGTTTTTTTGTTTTTTTTTTTAGATTTTACTTATTTATTTGACAGACAGAAATTACAAGTAGGGAGAGAGGCAGGCAGAGAGAGAGAGGTGGGGGGAGGCAGGCTCCCCACCGAACAGATCGATGCGGGGCTCGATCCCAGGGCCCTGGGATCATGACCTGAGCCAAAGGCAGAGGCTTTAACTCACTCAGCCACTCAGGCACCCCCTAAACCCACTTTTAAGTGGAAATACTACCAAACAACATGTAGGATATTTATTTGATTTTTTTTCCCAGCTGTGTGGGAAAGATGCCAGGAAAAGCATGTCTCTAAGCTTCAATTCTGGAAAAGACAATGACTTCCAACACTTACATTGTTTAAAAATCATAGCTTGGGAAGCAGCGCCGCTCTGCCAGGAACCATGCCGCGTGGAAGCCGGAGCCGCACCTCCCGCATGGCCCCTCCGGCCAGTCGGGCCCCACAGATGAGAGCTGCACCCAGACCAGCGCCCGCAGCTCAGCCGCCAGCAGCGGCTCCCCCATCTGCTGTTGGCTCACCTGCGGCTGCACCCTGGCAGCCTGGTCTCATGGCCCAGATGGCAACCACTGCAGCTGGCGTGGCTGTGGGCTCTGCTGTCGGGCACACAATAGGTCATGCCATCACTGGGGGCTTCGGTGGAGGAAGTAGTGCTGAGCCTTCAAGGCCTGACATCACTTACCAGGAGCCTCAGGGAGCCCAGCCAGCGTACCAGCAGCCACAGCAGCAGTTTGGCCCATGCCACTATGAGATGAAACAGTTTCTGGAGTGTGCCCAGAACCAGGGTGACCTTAAGCTTTGTGAAGGTTTCAGTGAGGTGCTGAAGCAGTGCAGATTTGCAAATGGATTAGCTTAATCAAGAAGTTCAAATTGAAGACACGGAAAATCATCTCTCATGACCAACTTAATTTAGCATAAAAATATAATTAATAGTGAATATATAAAGTATAAAACCACCAGTTAAGCCTCTCCATCATTAATTACAGCTTTCTTCAGAATTGGAATGAGAAAGCATGTTCTTACTGAATAGAAGTTCATTGAGATGGTTTGAGTTTGGGGCTGGGAGGATGTTTGTGTGCCTCCTTAAATCACCTTTTGTAATGTTCTCATTTGTGAACTAATTAGAATAAAGTGATTTTCTCTCAAAAAAAAAAATCATGGCTTGGGTTCAATTCCTCAAAAATAGGATGTTGCTTCTTGTTATTTAATAAATAGTGATTTCTACGAGTTTATGATTAGAAAGAGAAAATATTTCCAAGAGAGAGAACTCATATGGTAATGTGATAACAGAGAGTGATTAGGAAAACTAATTATGAAATATTAGGTACACATGCAGGGGAACATGGAAGGCAGTGAGGAGGAGGGCGACAGATTTCACAGGGAAGACAGACATGACAGAGCTCAGCAAGTGAGTGAGAAGAGGGCCAGGCAGGTGTTACTGAGAATGTACATCCAACAAGTATCTCTGCCAAAGGGTTCGAAGCCTCATAATACTAGTACCGGGCATGGGTAAGGACATCTTCTGATGCCATGATAGAAAAAAGATAAAAAAATGATAGAAAAAAAATGATAGATAAAAAAATGATAGAAAAAGATTCCAATACGAATGAGAATTTATCGTTCAATAAAGCTTGCCTACCAAATTGGCAAGACGTGGACATTTAAAATGCATGTTACTGGGACAACATGGAAAGCTTTGAAGAGAAAATACAGATTTTCAGTAAAACATCATACTACAGTAAGGAAATCTTCTAATGAGCCATAGGTTTAAATATTTTAGAAGATAAGATAATGAAAGAGTTCTAAGTTTTTATAATTTTTTTAAAGTTTTTATAATATTGAAGCACAGAAAGATTATGTAGCTTTGGCTCAAAATTAAAAATGCAGGACATAAAAATTGAACAAAAAAGAAAGCAACTACATAAAAATAAGTAATTCTATGTGGTAGAAACAAAGTTGAACCAAAAGCAAAATCAAAATACTATTGATAATGTTGATAAAACGTAATATCTCAGATAAGGTGTTATTGCCATTACAAATAACATCTTCTTAAATATCAAGAATTCCAAAAAGAAAGAAAGAGGGAAAAAAAAAGAAGGAAGAAATGAAAGAAGGAAGGAACTGAAGGAAGGAAGGAAAGAAAAGAAGGAAAACAGGTCAAGTAAATGAAGTAAAACTTTAGGAAAGGGGAAGGAAATCATCCTTTAAATATATGAAAGAATACTCAATTTCATTCAAGAAAAAGGAATACAATTTTAAAGGACACAGATATTTAGTTTGTAAGAAACCCTAGGACACTTGTCCAATGTAATTTCTTGGAAACACACATTTTATATACTAATGGTGAGGGTGCACAAGCCCTGTGGGGAGGGATGGGCCACCATCACTTATTTCTTGAACAATACAACTTGCACAAGTATGGATTTGTGCAGTTTTGTCTTTGGAAACATTGTAAGCAATTCTGCTGGATACATACCTAAGAGTAAGTGTCTCCAGATGAAGGCAAACTTCTAATTGGAGTACCCATGTTTTAATATCCATTTATTTATTTTTCTTTCAATTCCTTCAAATTATTCTATAGTTTATTGGATAGACTTTCCACACATTCTTATTAGAATTTTAATATTCAAGTATTTGACATATTTGATCCTATTTGCACAGTGGTTTTTGTACAATATTTTAAATATTTAATTATGTTTGCTTCTTTTCATAAAAACAAATTGATTTTTATTTATTGACTATTCAGCAAACATTTTAAAATCATTTATAAACTATAATAATTTCATTGAAGATTCTGGATTATGTTCTGTGTATACATACATTTATGTCCTATGACAATTGTAGTTAAGTAAAAAAATTTTTACTCTGCCTTTCTTCCCCTTTTACAACCGCACTTAATTATTTTTTTCTTTTTTAAAAACTTAATCACATGTAGGATTCTGTTGTCTAGATGAAAGTGTCATTGGTGAGATAAATGAAATGCATAATGCCAGTTACAATGGGAAAATGTTGTATAATCTTTGATTACCCAAAATAAATTAAACACCGCTAAATATGCAAATGCAGTTTTTATGAACATGATTGTATTTGATTTATTTCATTATTGTATATAATCTTAACAATGTGTTTCTTTTAATTTAACTGGTTTTCCCCAATAGAATATAAGTTACACAAAACTGGATTTTTGTCAAGCCATTTTGTACATTATAGATTAGGCCCATCACCATCTGAGTACCCCTGAGTGGCCACAGTCAGTGCCACATGAGATAGAATGATCGCCAGCTGTCCCCTGCCTTAATTCCTAACCTCTACATTTATGAGATACAATAAAGTGATAATACTCTAGGTTAAAAAGTCTGTGGGTTTTGTTTGTTTGTTTGTTTATGCAGCAATGGAATACTGGAACAGAGGCATTCCATAACTGTTATAAAACCAACTTTCTTGGTGAATTTTCTTCCATTATTTCTCTAGATTGGCACCATACATAGACATTTGATCATCAGTTACTATTAACATTCTGAGCTCTGAAATCATGGTCTTAATTCATTGGTGTTGTATTTGTAAGGTGATATTGGAACCATATTTATTTAGATTACAAAAGAACTAACTAGGTAAGTTAGGGAGTATCAAAGATAAATTAGTTCCTACAAGTATTATGTTAAAGAAGAGAGAGATTAAAAAAATGCCTCACTCATCACTTAATCCAATTGGATCCAATTGAATTGGCAGTAGTTAGTGGGAAACATCCGAAGGAAAACAAACAAAACTTGGCTTCCTTAATGGGAACATCTTGCCACTTTTGGGGGGCAGTGTAATAATGCTCCTTTCAAATGTCATCTTTCTCAACCAGAAAGACTTGGCAAAAAGATGCATTGAATGTTTCTAGCACAATTATTTTAATTTCTATTAATATTATCCACCAAAAGAATTAATAAAGTAAAAAAAAATTAGAGAATAGGTGATTCCATATTTGAGCAATATAAGAAAAATGGTCTCATTATTTCTCTGCAAAAACAAGGATGCATTCATGTTTTTGCATTAGTAAAAGGCATAAAACTCTGGGGATGTCACTATATGATTCCGCCATATATTCAAATCATTTCTACAAATGGAAATAAGGTTTACAGAAAAGCAGAACAGAAAGAGGCAAAAAAAAAAATTCTGAGCTTGTTCAGATAACTAGTTCTAATTTCTCCTAATGGCTATCCATCTCCACTAGTTTAAAATATAGGGGGTGGAAAACTTAAATAATGTGTTTCCATACCAAAAGCTTCACAAATAACATTTTCGTTAAGGTTTTATTGTTCATCTGTTCTTAGATTAATTATAGGTTAAATTTTAAATCAGAAAGAGGCAATATCCATATTTTGAATGGGTATAACTTCTAAAAATATAAGGTAGAATCATTCAAGAAGTTATTCTCCAAAGGCTTACCATACAATATTCTTTATTAGTTGATGTATTTTTTTTTTAACTCACGAAAAATTTATATCTTAACTATTGGTAAAATACTAGAGTTTTGTATCACACATTCATTGCCCAGAAATTTCTCAGAAGTCCTATCTTGGTGATAGGACCTTATTTCCCCCCACCCCTTCATTGATGATTCTCATTTAAAATGTAAAAGATGGGATTGGGAGGGAGACAAACCATAAGTGACTCTTAATCTCACAAAACAAACTGAGGGTTGATGGGGGAGGGGTTGGGGGGGTGGGGTTATGGACATTGGGGAGGGTATGTGCTATGGTGAGTGCTATGAAGTGTGTAAACCTGGCGATTCACAGACCTGTACCCTTGGGGATAAAAATATATGTTTATAAAAAAAAAAGAAAAAGAAAAAGAAAAAAAAGAAAAAAATGTAACTGTGATGAGATAACAATTAAAAAGACTGAACAAGCAAACAAAACCAAAACAAAACTAAACAAAAACTCTTTTGCTCTCTTTACATATTTCTTTACCCATCTAGCCCTTGGATACCACACTCCTGACTCATGATACTTCATTCTCTGCAACCATTTTTCTAATCTTTCACTGTGGATATATAGTTGAAGTATAATTCAGATTTCTCACTTTGTGGTCACGTTTTTAAATGAGAATCATCACCCCAGGGGGGAAAAAAGGATAGTTCAAGAACTTGATTGAAATAAGTCTATGCTGATGATACAGTAATAATATTTCCATGTTAAACATATGGCTTCCTTCTTTGTATCTGTTTATTACTTTTTTTTTAATTTCTTTTCAATGTAACAGTATTCATTGTTTGTGCACACACCCAGTGCTCCATGCAATACGTGCCCTCTCTAATACCCACCACCTGGTTCCCCCAACCTCCCACCCCTCACCCCTTCAAAAACCCTCAGGTTTTTTTTTCAGAGTCCATAGTCTCTCATGGTTCACCTCCCCTTCCAATTTCCCTCAACTCCCTTCTCCTCTCCATCTCCCCATGTCCTCCATGTTATTTGTTATGCTCCACAAATAAGTGAAACCATATGATAATTGACTCTCTCTGCTTGACTTATTTCACTCAGCATAATCTCTTCCAGTCCCGTCCATGTTGCTACAAAAGTTGGGTATTCATCCTTTCTGATGGAGGCATAATACTCCATAGTGTATATGGACCACATCTTCCTTATCCATTTGTCCGTTGAAGGGCATCTTGGTTCTTTCCACAGTTTGGCGACTGTGGCCATTGCTGCTATAAACATTGGGGTACAGATGGCCTTTTTTTCCACTACATCTGTATCTTTGGGGTAAATACCCAGTAGTGCAATTGCAGAGTCATAGGGAAGATCTATTTTAAATTTCTTGAGGAATCTCCACACTGTTCCCCAAAGTGGCTGCACCAACTTGCATTCCCACCTTTTGGGACCTCATCAAGATTAAAAGCTTCTGCACAGCAAAGGAAACAGTCAACAAAACAAAGAGGCAAGCCACAGAATGGGAGAAGATATTTGCAAATGACAGTACAGACAAAAGGTTGATATCCAGGATCTATAAAGAACTC